CAATCGAACTGAAGCTGTCAAATATGCTTATACACGAATTTTTACACCCGATTGGACAGAAGATCAAGTTGCTTTTGTTCGAGAAAAAATATTGCATTACAATTATTCAATAACTCTAGAAGATTCTTTTAATTTTTCACTTTGTTCACGGTGCAATAATGGGTTATTAAGATTGAATTCAACTAAAAAAAAATCATCCAACAACTCTAAATCAGTAAAGAATAAAATCGATGCTTCTTCTGAATTATGCACATCTAAAAAAATCAAATTAGAGCCAAAGATATATGATCTTACTTTGGAAAGTGATGGTTTTCAAAATTTATTAGATTCTTCCGAATCTAATGATGACAGTGAAGAGGACACATACTATATGAAAGAAGCAGATAATTTCGAAAAAGATTTCGAATATGAATTTCATTATGGTATCTTTATAAAATTAGATGGAAAATTTTTACCAACTAAATGGTATAAAATTACTGTATCCGAAATTGATGAATTTCTTGCAGAAATTCATAACAATGCAATCACATTAACAAAGAATGAATCAATTGAAGCATGTAATTACAACGTAGCATTTAAAGGCGAAAAGGCCACAGGAGCTGGAACTCAGTTAGTAGATGATTAAGACTTTCAAAAATTTCGGTCTGAATATCGTAAACTTTCTACACGAAAAGCTAATATGGGAATATTTATAACGATTAATTCACAAGACTTAAATAAAAATAAGCATAAAAAAAAGGTATGTTTATTTAAATTTTATGAATTAACCACCTAAAGTACGGGTTTATAATAATATACAATTACTAATCAATTTACATTATATGACCCATACTTTTGGTGTTTGCCTGGTGAATTTAAATTTTACTTGCTTGAATCTAGGATTCTGATTCTGAAACAGAAATTGATATGTTAGAGGATAACTGTTTAGAAACTTCAAAAAATAAAAATCATGTTCCTAAAGTATCCAATCTTACCAAAGAAAAAACAGCAAAAGCCGGAAATTATTATTAGTTGGTGCTTAAATAATCAAGAAAATCCGTTAGTTCAATGTTT